CTATTTTGTTGAAAATTATTGGTCTAATAATAATAATACTTTAAAACTCATCTAATCTCAATAATTTACTAATATTTAATATTTGTTTCAAATTTAATCTTTGAATTAGGTTGCAATAAAATTATATACACATATCACGATTTTATTTTTTCATATATGAAATCAAGTATGACATAGAACTAACATACATCTTTATCTCTCATTCTTTGTTATATATAAGTGTTTTCATTATTTTACAACTCATTATTTTGGTTATTTATGTACTTCACATTCTAAAATCCTATTCCAAATCGAAATTCATTTTTATTATTCTCTTCAATTTGGTAAGGAAAATTAAAATTATATTCATAATTTAAAATTTCACCAACATAAATTTGGTCTCAAAGTAATCACAAAATAATTTAAAAAATAATAAATATAAAAATAAATCGATACTAGCATTGATATTATACATATAATTATATGTGTCAGCTATGTAATATATATATATATATATATATATTTATATATTTGTACGTCATTTGTTAATTTATAAATAATTCAAATATTTTGTTAGTGATTTTATTTCATCATTTTTCACATTAGAAAAGTTTAATCTTAACGTTAGAAGTTACGACAAGGTGTTATTTATTTTCAAAATTAATCAAATTTTGGTCTCATTAAAAATTATAAATTTTATATGAATACCAAATAAAAAAATACATATTCACTTCTATTTGCAATTAATTTAAACTCAAATCTAAATAGGATGAATATGATAAATTAAAATTCTCTTTCAACATCATTTTAGTATGAAATGTCAAACAAGTTGTTAAACAACATAATGTTACGATCACTACTATAATCAATTGCAAGCTCATTAATAAAATTGACAAATTCGTTCGACTCGTTGTGCATTGGCACAAGATTACATACAACTAAATTCAAATTATTTTAAATATAATACTACATTTTTATTACAAATATAAATAAATAATATCTTGATTATTGGAAGGATGAGAGAACTTAAATTTCTATCAACGTATAATAGTTTATGACTAATATATATATATATATATATATATATATATATAAATAACAACTTTTCGTAAATTCTAACGTCAACATTAAACTTTTTTAATGTGAAAAATGAAGAAATAATATCACTAACAAAATATTTGAATTATTTATAAATTAACAAATAACGTACAAATATATAAATATATATATTTTACATAGCTGACACATATAAATATATGTATAATATCAATGCTAGTATCAATTTATTTTTATATTTATTATTTTTTAAATTATTTTGTGATTAATTTGAGACCAAATTTATGTTGGTAAAATTTTAAATTATGAATATAATTTTAATTTTCCTTACCAAATTGAAGAGAATAATAAAAATGAATTTCGATTTGTAATAGAATTTTAGAATATGAAGTACATAAATAACCAAAATAATGAGTTGTAAAATAAGGAAAAACACTTATTCATAACAAAGAATGAGAGATATAAATGTATGGTTAATTTTTTTGTTGATGGCATTTGGTTAAAATCTCAAGAATTTACCTAGTTATTTGAATTAACATTGGTCCAACAATATTAATATTGTTAATCTTATATAATCTCTATAATTTAATACTATTTTGTAATTGTTCTGATATTTACTCTAATTATCGAATTGATTCCAACAAAATTACTTAATTACAAGAACAATTCATCTTTTTTAAAACTAACTACGAGGTAGAAATAACATACATTTCCGTCTCTCGTCATTTGCAATACCTCACTCTTATCCATTATTTTACGGCTATTTCATCAAATGCCATCAAAATTCACAAAATGCCATTAACAAACAATACATTGACACCTCGTGCCACTAATAGCTTATGGACGTTTTTCGTTAATACAATTCTTATTTCACCAAATGCCATTACTTTTTAAAATTCATACACAATAATTATTTATTTTAATGAATAAAAATAAAACTTTTTTTCGATTCTCGTAACGAATATTATTCGAGTAAAGTTTTGGGGGTCATTTTGACCCTTATGGGTACAAATTAAACTCGACATTGACAAAAAAAAAATAAAAAACGTAAATACCCTGTCTCACATTTTTTTTTCAAAAAAATGACGATATCGACATACAAAATGGGGCATATATGTTAATTTTTTTGTCAATTTCGAGCTTAATTTGTTATCATAAAGGATCAAAATGACCACCGAAACCTTATTCGATCAATTTTGATGGTTAAAAAGTAACGACACGCTAATCGAAATATTTTTCAACACACAAAACGGAGCATTTGCCTTTTCTTTTTTTCTTTTTTTTTTTTTTTTTTTTTTTTTTTTTTTTTTTTGCGTCAATTCTGAGCTTGGTTTGTGTCCATAAAGGATCAAAATGACCCCCAAAACCTTACCCGATCAATTTTGATGGTTAAAAAATAACGACACGCTAATCAAAATATTTTTCAACACACAAAGCGGAGCATTTACATTATTTTTTTGTCAATTTCGAACTTAAGTTGTCTCCCTAAAGGATCAAAATGACCCCCAAAACCTTACCCGATCAATTTTGATGGTTAAAAAATAATGACACGCTAATCGTAATATTTTACAACACACAAAACGAAGCATTTACGTTATTTTTTGGTCAATTTCGAACTTTATTTGTATCCATAAAGGATCAAAATGATCTCCAAAACTATACCCGAGCATTTTTTGCCACGAAAATGAACAAAAAAAATATTATTTTTATTAATTAAAATAAATAATTGAAATGAACCAATCATATTTGACACGTGTCAAGATTTAATCTTAATGACTAATAGAGTTAACGACCATTAGCCATTAATGACATTTGGTGAATTTTTTTAAAAGCTCGATGACATTTGGTGAATTTTGAAAACCTGGATGGTATTTGGTGAATTTTTTAAGTACTCAGCGACATTTTCTGAAAAGCCAATTATTTTACAACTTATTATTTTGGTTATTTGTTTTCTCATGCATTCATGATGAACTTTTTTCGTCACATGATGTTCATTGTTTATTTTGAAATGTTTTTTGAATTTTATCTTTGAATCAAGATGGGTAAATATACATAATGTTCATTATATAATATTATCATTTTCTTTACTAACATTACGAATGTTCTTTATCCCTAGAGGAGGTCCCAAAAGAATATTATTATTATCAACCTTCATGATCTTAATTTCAAAATAATATCCTTTTCGAAATGAACATTACAAACAACACCCTCCTCATCTACTCAACTAAGCTCTAGGTTAAACATGGGCATCGCCTGTGCCTGAGTGGGGCTCGTGCCAGGCATTGCCGTGTCGGCTTTGCGGCGGGCCGTGCCAAATTTTGGCACACCCCAGCCCACGGCACGGCACGAACCATGTGCCTGGCGGGCCATGCCGGGTACCGGGCCAACTCGTTTTTTTTAAAAATATATATATGTATATAAAAAAATCGATATATTTATTTTTTTTGAACAACTTAAGTTTATATATATAATGTTATTAATTTATGTTTATGTTAATATATTTTTTTGAACAACTTTAATTTAAGGATTTCTTAGATTTTAACACCACAAAAAAAAAACGAAAAAAATGGTTTTTAACACTATAAACAAAAACTTTTATTTTAACACCACAATTTTTTCATAAAATTTGATTTTACCACCACTTAAGAGCACTTACACCAATGAGGTAAAAAATGTACCTGAGAAGAAATAAGTGTGAAAAAAAAATACAAATAGCCTACACTAATGAGAAGAAAATAATCTCCTCATGGGGAGAATGAAATATGCGCACAAGATGAGGAGAAATAAGGGTGAATAGTAAAGCGGTGGGCCCCACAACCCAAAAGATAATCAGTTTTTTTTTTCCTAACCCCACACCAAAACGACGAGTTTTGGAAACTGGTCTTCAACACATTCCCTAAAACACGTCGTTTTGGTGGAACAAAGCAAAAAAAAAAAAAATAGTTTCAGCTGCTGACAGGGCGCGTCACGCGGCCCAATGGCACGTTGACACGCGTCCGGTCAGCCTTTGTCAACCAATCAGAAAATTAACAATTAATACCAACGGTTACATTTTTGTAACCGATATAATCATATTTACGTTTAAAAAAAAAAAAATTACACCAACGTTCATATTTTTTTATCCTCTATAAATAGACATCCATTTTCATATAATTTCACATACTTCAATAACCTCAAAAAAATTACTATATTCACTTATCTATCACTTTGTAATACATATTTAAAATCTTATCAAAAATTATTATTAAAAGTATCATTATTATTAAATAATTATTATTATTAATATTATTATCATCATCATTATTATTATTAGGAAATTTTTTAAATTATCACCTAAAAATGTAACCATTTTCTAAGTAACCACCCATTAAATATTTTATTTTAAATTACCACCCCTTAAATTAAATAAATGCTTAGATTACCACCCATTTTAAAAATTCGGTGGATTTTTCGTATGTGGGCCCCTCCTAACACTTATTTTGACCATTTTGACTGATTTTTTCCCATAATTTTTCTCTTTAAAACACTCTCCTAACTCCAATTCACTTTTTTCTCTTTGAAATTTGGTTGAATTTGGGGATGGAAATGTGAATTAAAGTATAGAGAGCGTTTTTAAGGAGAAAAATCGGGGAAAAAATAAGTCAAAATGGTTTAAATAAGTGTTAGGTGGGGCCTACAGATGGAAAATCCACCGGATTTTTGAAATGGGTGGTAATATGAGCATTTATTTAATTTAAAGGGTGATAATTTAAAATAAAAAATTAAACGGGTAGTAGTAGTAGTAGTAGTAGTAGTAGTAGTAGTAGTAGTAGTAGTAGTAACAAACACCTCCTCAAATTCTTGTTGAAAACACTAACTATGAACCACAATCACCTACTACGTATCAAGGGAGTAACTCTCAATACAAGGAGGAGCTTGAAGAAAATATTCCAGAAACTCCTCAATACCCTCAACCTCCTCCAAGAATGTCGGCTAATCAACCCCAACAACTCGCTAGAGCGAGTCGTATTTGGTCGGTTGCAGAGGATGAAGCTCTTACTGGTTTGTACATGAAATTTAGTCAAGATGCGATTTCAGGTACAAATCAAAAAGCAACTGTGCTTTGGCGCAAAGTGTCTGCGGCGTATGATAAAGCGCAAGTTGAGAAACCCCACATTCTACCGCCCAGACCTGTGAGGAGTTTAGAAAGCCATTGGAGAAGGATGGCAACAGTTTTGCTGCAATGGAGCACTTGTTATGATGAAGATGGTAGAGCTACAGGGAGTGGTTACAATGAAGTTGATCCAATTAGCAACGCATCCAAGTTATTCTATATTTTGGTCAACCCTCCCCATAATTTCACTTGTCACCATGTGTGGGAAATGATTAAAAATGACCCAAAATTTAGGACTAAACTGAGATGGGGATTATCAAAAGAGGAAACACAAGCTTGTGGTGATGATGTCGAAGATGATAGCAGTGACAGTGGGAAGAGATGTAGAACTGAAGTTGCAGGTGATGGCCCTTCTACCGGATTGTCATCTGGAGGTCTACCTCGACCCGATGGTGTTAAAAAAGCAAAAGCCAAGCGTAATAAGGGGAAACAGGTGGCTTCTGAAAGTGCAGTTTTAAGCATTGGTGAGCAAATGAAGGCAAGTAATGAAAATAGAGAAAGAGAGGCTATTCTACGTCAAAAGAAGTTGGATCTGGACGAGAAAAGGGAGATGAGAAAACAAAAGCAGGTTGAATTACAGGAAAGAATATTGAAATTAAAAAAGGTGATGTGTATTGTGGTGGGGTATAAGAAATAGTAGGAGAGATAGTGGCGAGGAGTTTTTTTTTTATAAGCATTGATGTGGTAAAAAATATTACTCTTGAGGAGAAATGGGTGGGAGGAGTCAGAAAGTGGGTAGGGAGAGAATGAGGAGAAATAATTCTCCTCACTAGTGTTAATGCTCTAACGGTTGTCGTCCAAAAATCCGTTAAGTGGGGTCCATTGTGCCACGTGTCATCATATTATTAGTTTAGGAAAAAAAGAAAAATTAAAAAAAAAAAAACCAAAACCCTAAACTAGAACCCCATCCCCACCTGTTGTTTTAAAGAATTTAGCCAAACTTTTTGCGGAATTAAAATTAAGTTAGGTAAAGGAACTGAAAGATTAACTAAAGGAACTAAATAATGCAAGAGAGATTTTACATGGAAAACTCCTTGGCCCTAACAAAGAGAAAAACCACGACCACTTGGGATTTTGGGAAATGAATCTTCACTATAATAGGGCAAATGAACCTATTACAAGATAATGACTCAAACTCAAGTTCCTCTACGAACTTGAGGCCCTGAGGAACTAGTCACCCAACTAGTTACTCTTCTCTTCTCTTTCTCTCTTCTCACTTCTCTGTTCTCTCTTCTCTTTCTCTTCTCTTTCTTTTCTCTTTCTCACTTCTCTTCCTCATACACAAATGTTCACTCGAACTTCCCCATTCCCCAAATTACAACTCGAAAGAAATTAAACTCTAGCATAAGAACATTAAGAACACTCTAATGAACTTGTGTGGAATTGACACTTGACTCGAATAAAAGCTAGAAAACTTATGTGAGCAAGGGTGAGTTTTTCCATTAGATTTCAAAGACTATTTATAGAGCAATAAACAAGTTGGAAAAACCTCTTTGTGCAGCAACACCATTACGCCACTACTCATACCCACTAAGAAGATCATGTCCCTTGAATTAAGGATCCATGAACTCCTTAATGTGCAAACCCATGACTGAAGAAGAACATGGGAGAGTAGGCCGCAAGTTTTGGAAAACATGGGAGATTTTATTTTGTAAAAGATATTTTCCGAAAATCAGAAAAAGAAATAAAATAAAATCTTTTTAACTTGAGAAAAAGATAAACGTTTAAATGATAACAATTTTCCTAAAAACTAGCATGCACATATTTCATCTTTTAGACCAATTCCACACAGATTTTTCGAATGCAACTTAATATCTTATACTTACATAAATCCTAAAATATAAAAATATTTTTAGTCTTCATGTTCTCTGATGAGGCTTCTACTCCGAGGCTTCTGTTCCTTGGGAGGAACTTCTCTTCTCCACTCTTCATTTCTGAAGTGCCAGTTCCCGTGAGGGAACTCTTCTCTATGGCTAGCTCTGCTTCTGGCCTTCTTGTTCCTCATGGTATTTTTACAAGACACTTCATTCTCCTGGTCTTTGTAACTGAGTACACACTTAAACAATCAAGCACTTATTAGTTTGTAAGTAAGTGAGGTTGTGTCATCATCAAAATCATTAAGTTCAACAATATTCCCCCTTTTTGATGATGACAAACAAACCAAACTTACTTACAAGGAAACAGAGATAAACCATTTTATTCCTAAAGAAAGGAAATGCAAAAATAAAATATAAAGCAAAATGGAACCTAATGTTTAAGGAAATAAAAACAATGCATAAATAAATAACTTGAGGAAAACTGAAAAACTTGAAATAAAAACAATGCATAAATAAATAACTTGTATATACATTATACCTGCTTGTAGAGATTAGACAACTTGTGAAGATTTCGAACAAAGACCATAGAATGATTAAGTTTCCTTGATAGTTTGCATCCTTTTCCCCCTTTTGGCATTATCAAAAACTAACACACACACGTATAGTATACCATAACACAGCACCAACTAGTGGTTTAGTGTTAAGACAAGAAGCATGCATATAGAGAAAACATTCACAAAGCATATAGGAAAAAGAAACATAGACATTCATCATCCAAAACCGATTAAAAACATCGGCCAAATGTACCAAATTCGCAAGTTTGCCAAAAGAAATTAAAAAGTGCCCAAAATATTACAGACCAAAATAAATTGTTTCCAAAAGCAGATAAACAGAATGTTTCATCAACAAAGAAAAGCTGCAAGGAAAGACAGGTTAAGATGCAGTGCTCTGGTCATCATCAACAGCAAGATCCTCTAGCTTCTTGCTTATTTGAGACACTATGTCCTTCACAATGGACTGTCTCCCTTGTTCAGTGCTTGAGACCAGCTTCTTGAATTCAGTGCTCAGAATGAGCATGCTCTTATTCAGTTCTTCCATGTTTTGCTTTGAATCCTCTTGTTCCTTCAGCACCTTCAGGAGCATATCCTTCATCTCCTTGACATCCTCGCTGGGAACCTTTGATGGGGAACTGAAAGCTGCGAAACCTGTTCCTGCAGATGCATACTTGCCCAGACTAGGAGAGCTTGAGACTTTCTGTAATTCCTCTTGCACCCCAGTCATATCAATGCAAATGGGTGCAGAGGGCTTCTTTTTCTTCATCAGCCTTAAACTCTTCCTTTTCTTCCTTCCCCCTGTCTCAGTCACTTCCTCAACCACCTTTTCCTCTTCCTCCTCCTGAATGTCCTGTACCACTCCCTCTATGATCCCAGTAGCTCTCTCTTCTTCCCCCTCAGTTACAGCACCTACTTCCTTTGGCCTCTTATCTTTTTCTTCCAGCACAACCTCAAAACATCCATCTACAACCTTCATCTTATGGTTTTCAAGGAAAATGGGTTGCATGTACTCGGTGTTTTTGAGGGGAAGGGGTTCTTTATCAACAAAGGAAATTCCAAAGCTTTCAAAGACATAGGTGAGAAGGTTACCATATCCCACCTTCCATCCTTTTGGAACACAGTGGGAAAGGTGTTGAATCATGATGGAGGGAAAGTTAATTTGGATCTTTTTGGCTAGGCAGTAGATGAGAACAGAGTCAAGCTTGTTGGCACTGTCTCTCTTTTGGGTTCGAGGGATAATATCATTAAAAACGAATTTTAGCAGAATTTTATCAAGAGGGGTTAGGTCATTGTGATTTATGTAGGTTTCCTCCGGGTCTCCACCTAGAAACTCTACAATCTCATCAATGTTTGCATCAGGAAGAGGGTTCCTTATCACATTACTCTTAAAATACAAGTCATATCCAGTATTAGGAACATCAAACAACTCAGCCAAGTACATCGCATCAAACTCAATTTCTTTTTCATACACACAGCAACGAATAACACCTTTAGAATACTTAAAGCTTTTACAGAAATCCTTCATAGCATCAACATACATACTCCGATTAAAGCATTCACTCAACAAATTCACCCAATTTTGAGCCTCAAACAAATCTAGCAATTCATAAAGCTTAACAGATCTACACCAAGGAAGATTAATAGCCAAACCTGTCACAAAGTGATCCCTGATCTTCTCTTGCCGTTTCATGGCTACAGGCTTGTCTCGGTAATTGACCCCTAGTTCCGGAGCGCTTTCTTCTTCTTCTTGCATGTCATCGGACTTCCTTTTTCGAGAAGATTGGGATTCGGTGGTTGAATCCACTTTTGGAGGCTCTTGGTCATTAATGGGGTTAATTTCCGGTGGGATTTCCATGGTAATTTCTGGAATTGGGTTTGTATTAAGGTCGCCTTCAATTTGGGTTTTTGGAGAGGTAGACATTGGAGAGTAGTTTTGATCGGAGTGATGAGAGAGAAGGTAATTTTTGTGTGATGTAAATTTGTGTGAGGCTGACATCTTTTATGGTGGAGGTAAATAGATGAAGTGAGGTGTCGCTTGGGAGAAGAAGTGAATTTAGTTGATTTGACACTCATATTTATTGCTTAGGGAAATGCAAACCGTGTTTTAAGAGAGTAATGTAAGTGGGCTACTTTTTTAACAAAAGATAATGATGAATTTAGATGCATTCATCCGATTTTTGTGTTTAGATAAAAAGAATTTGGAATTTTGAAAAATAGATAAACACAACAATTTTATCTCTTGAATTTTATCAGTAAAGAACACTTGCAAATACAACTTGATACACGGAACAAATCAACAAGGCTCATGCAACCAATTTTGGACTCTTCATAGTCTATGACTTTCAAATTTACATGCCCTTAGTAAATATTACTCCTGCTCACAACCTGTCTTAACTATGTAATTCAACATATAACACTTGTGCACAGTATACAACAGATTAAGCATGTTAGTTTGAGTTTCATACCTGAGGGAACTTGATGCATTTTTCTCAGTATAACTTAATCATCGCAAGTTCCATTCTCATCTTCTCATGCCTTTCTCTATTTAAGGGTTTTGTTAATATATCTGCAATTTGATTGTCAGTTTGGCAGAAATCTAATTTAATCAAACCCTTTTCAACATTATCCTTAAGGAAATGATGCCTTACATGAATATGCTTAACTCTTGAATGATGGACTGGATCTTTAGATATGCAAATTGCACTAGTGTTATCACAGTAGATAGTAATGCAATTAAATTTAATACCAAAGTCACGTAACTGTTGTTTTATCCAGAGGACTTGAGAGCAACAAGCAGCTGCTTCTACATACTCAGCCTCTGCAGTAGATAATGCAACCGTATTTTGTTTCTTGGAACCCCAAGAAACTAGACAAGAGCCAAGGAACTGAACCATACCTGAGGTTCTTTTCCTATTGACTAGGTCACCTGCATAGTCAGCATCTGTGAATCCTCTAAGCATAAAGTCATCACTTCTAGGATAGAACAGACACAGGTCATCTATTCCTTTGAGGTATCTCAAAATTCTCTTAACAGCCGTTAGATGTGATTCTTTAGGATTAGACTGAAATCTAGCACACAATCCAACACTAAAGGAAATGTCAGGCCTACTGGCTGTTAGATATAACAATGAACCAATCATACCTCTGTAAGTGGTTTGATCCACACTTGTTCCTTGTGGATCCTCATCAAGTCTTGTTGCTGTTCCCATAGGTGTATGATTTGTCTTGGCATTTTCCATGTTGTACTTCTTCAGAAGTTCCTTGAC